GTCCAGACTATAGACTATAGTCCAGACTATAGGGACTATAGTCCAGACTATAGACTATAGTCCAGACTATAGACTATAGTCCAGACTATAGACTACAGTCCAGACTATAGACTATAGGTCCAGACTTTAGACTATAGTCCAGATTATAGACTATAGTCCAGTCCATAGTCCAGATATAGACTATAGTCCAGACTATAGACTATAGTGCAGACTATAGACTATAGTGCAGACTCTAGTAGAGACTATAGACTATAGTCCAGACTATAGACTATAGTCCAGACTATAGACTATAGTCCAGATTATAGACTATAGTCCAGTCTATAGTCCAGATTATAGACTATAGTTCAGACTATAGACTATAGTGCAGACTATAGACTATAGTAGAGACTATAGACTATAGTCCAGACAATAGACTATAGTCCCAGACTATAGACTATAGTCCAGACTATAGACTATAGCGCAGACTATAGACTATAGCGCAGACTATAGACTATAGCGCAGACTATAGACTATAGCCCAGACTATAGACTATAGTCCAGACTATAGACTATAGTCCACACTATAGACTATAATCCACACTATAGGCTATAGTCCACACTATAGACTGTAGTCCAGACTATAGACTGTAGTCCAGACTATAGACTATAGTCCACACTATAGACTATAATCCACCCACTATAGGCTATAGTCCACACTATAGACTGTAGTCCAGACTATAGACTGTAGTCCAGACTATAGACTATAGTCCAGACTATAGACTATAGTCCAGACTATAGACTATAGTCCATACTATAGACTATATTCCAGACAATAGAATATAGTCCAGACTATAGACTATAGTCCAGACTATAGACTATAGTCCAGACTATAGACTATAGTCCAGACTATAGGCTATAGTACAGACTACAGACTATAGTCCAGACTATAGACTATAATCCAAACTATAGACTATAATCCAGACTATATACTATAGTACAGCCTATAGACTATAGTCCAGCCTATAGATTATAGTCCAGCGTATAGACTATAGTCCACACTATCCACTATAGTCCTGACTATAGTCCAACCTATAGACTATGGTCCAGTCTGGACCAGACTATAGTCCAGATTATTAGCAATTTCCCAATTCTTATAAATTACTTAATAACTCTAAACTTACCATTATACGTTTGAGATCTTCCTCGGATGGCTGTTCGTAGCCATCTTGATACCATATTAATTTATATATAACTGCCAATTGATTGTACGATAAAGGAGGTATATTACGAGCTTGACATTTAGCCAAAATGTCTTCAGGGTAACAGCTAAAAAACAGAAGAAATTAACAAAAATCAAGAAATCTGTTAACTTTCTATAAAAATCCCTTTTTTTCAACTTACCGGACACGTTGGATGTGATGGCGGTTCACATGTCATTAAATCGAGTATTTCCTTTTTAATTTCCGTTGCACACACACTGGTCTGTATTTTATCCTTCTCTTTTTGCGCCTTCTTTTCGCGTCGTTTCATTGCACACTGGTTTTCGGGCACCACACATTCCGGCCGCATGCCCACAGCCAAACATTTTTTCAGCCTACATTCCTGACATTTGCGTCTCATATACATGTCCATTTCGCAGGCATGACCAAATTTACAACAATACACCGCATTTTTGGTAACACTCCGTCGAAAGAAACCCTTACAGCCTTCACAGGTGAGTGCGTTGTAATGGTAACCTGACGCCCGATCACCACACACCAGACACAGTTCCTCTTGTAAACGGGGCGCAGGACCTTTTTTGATTTTCTTAACATCACTAGCATCGCTGGTTGAGAAGCCATTCAGACTGCTCGAGGGTGATAGATCATCACGACCTGTAAAGGGAGAGAAAAAAGAGATCAATTATTAGATATTTATCGGATAAAAAGATCAGCAGTTACGTTCTTATTTGAAACCCCTATTCTAATTTGTATTACATTCATTTATGCGTATTTTAACTTTAGTTTTGTTATTCAATTTTTCCTTCAGTTTTTAGATTTGAATATTTGAAGGTTTTTTTTTACCTCTCGCTGCCTCAAATAAGCATTTCAATTAGTTACAAAAAAGCGAAGAAAAATCTATGTCGTACAAATAGTATGACGTCAAATTGTTGGGATCTGCATAAATGTTTGTTTATAAATGCTAATAATGTTTTCAATTTTACATAAACAAATTATATGTAAAAAATACAACTCTAAATGGAAATTTTTCTAAAACAGATTTTTCTTTACGAATTTTGGATTGAACAAAAAAGAAATGAAGATCAATTGTTTTATAAAAACAGGCATAAAACAGTAGTTTAATTTGTTATTAATGTTTTATTTATTTAAATCAACATAAATATTTATTTGATCAAAAAAAATGTAACGGTTTTTTTAAAGGTGTTTAAAAAAGCCGATGATAAAACTAGTTATGGCAAGAAATTTTTATGTCAATGTTAGCATTTGATATAAAATATGTCATGATAGAAGAAAATTATGTTAGAGATCAGTCTAGATTACGAAAAAGTCTATATAAACTAGATTATAATATACCCTATAGACTAGACTATAGACTAGACTAGTCTATAGTCTAGTCTAGTTTAGTCTAGTCTATAGTCTAGTCTATAGTCTAGTCTATAGTCTAGTCTATAGTCTAGTCTATAGTCTAGTCTATAGTCTAGTCTATAGTCTAGTCTATAGTCTAGTCTATAGTCTAGTCTATAGTCTAGTCTATAGTCTAGTCTATAGTCTAGTCTATAGTCTAGTCTATAGTCTAGTCTATAGTCTAGTCTATAGTCTAGTCTATAGTCTAGTCTATAGTCTAGTCTATAGTCTAGTCTATAGTCTAGTCTATAGTCTAGTCTATAGTCTAGTCTATAGTCTAGTCTATAGTCTAGTCTATAGTCTAGTCTATAGTCTAGTCTATAGTCTAGTATATAGTCTAGTCTATCGTCTAGTCATCGTCTAGTCTAGTCTAGTCTAGTCTAGTCTAGTCTAGTTAGTCTAGTCTAGTAGTCTAGTCTAGTATTAGTCTAGTCTAGTCTATAGTCTAGAGTCTATAGGCTAGTCTATAGTCTAGTCTATAGTCTAGTCTATAGTCTAGTCTATAGTCTAGTCTATAGGCTAGTCTATAGTCTAGTCTATAGTCTAGTCTATAGTCTAGTCTATAGTCTAGTCTATAGTCTAGTCTATAGTCTAGTCTATAGTCTAGTCTATAGTCTAGTCTATAGTCTAGTCTATAGTCTAGTCTATAGTCTAGTCTATAGTCTAGTCTATAGTCTAGTCTATAGTCTAGTATAGTCTAGTCTATAGTCTAGTCTATAGTCTAGTCTATAGTCTAGTCTATAGTCTAGTCTATAGTCTAGTCTATAGTCTAGTCTATAGTCTAGTCTATAGTCTAGTCTATAGTCTAGTCTATAGTCTAGTCTATAGTCTAGTCTATAGTCTAGTCTATAGTCTAGTCTATAGTCTAGTCTATAGTCTAGTCTATAGTCTAGTCTATAGTCTAGTCTATAGTCTAGTCTATAGTCTAGTCTATAGTCTAGTCTATAGTCTAGTCTATAGTCTAGTCTATAGTCTAGTCTATAGTCTAGTCTATAGTCTAGTCTATAGTCTAGTCTATAGTCTAGTCTATAGTCTAGTCTATAGTCTAGTCTATAGTCTAGTCTATAGTCTAGTCTATAGTCTAGTCTATAGTCTAGTCTATAGTCTAGTCTATAGTCTAGTCTATAGTCTAGTCTATAGTCTAGTCTATAGTCTAGTCTATAGTCTAGTCTATAGTCTAGTCTATAGTCTAGTCTATAGTCTAGTCTATAGTCTAGTCTATAGTCTAGTCTATAGTCTAGTCTATAGTCTAGTCTATAGTCTAGTCTATAGTCTAGTCTATAGTCTAGTCTATAGTCTAGTCTATAGTCTAGTCTATAGTCTAGTCTATAGTCTAGTCTATAGTCTAGTCTATAGTCTAGTCTATAGTCTAGTCTATAGTCTAGTCTATAGTCTAGTCTATAGTCTAGTCTATAGTCTAGTCTATAGTCTAGTCTATAGTCTAGTCTATAGTCTATAATCTAGTCTATAGTCTAGTCTAGTCTAGTCTATAGTCTAGCCTATAGTCTAGTTTATTTTCTAGTCTGTAGCCTAGTCTATAGTCTAGTCTATAGTCTAGTCGATAGTGTAGTCTATAGTCTAGTCTATAGTGTAGTCTATAGTCTAGTCTACCGTTTAGTCTATAGTCTAGTTTATAGTATAGTTTATAGTCCAGGCTATAGTCTAGTCTATAGTCTAGTCTATAGTCTAGTCTATAGTCTAGTGTATAGTCTAGTCTATAGTCTAGTCTATAGTCTAGTGTATAGTCTAGTGTATAGTCTAGTCTATAGTCTAGTCTATAGTCTAGTCTATAGTCTAGTCTACAGTCTATCCTATAGTCTAGTCCATAGTCTAGTCTATATTCTAGTCTATAGTCTAGTCTAGTCTACAGTCTAGTCTAGTCTACAGTCTAGTCTAGTCTAGAATCTAGTCTACAGTCTAGTCTATAGTCTAGTCTATAGTGTAGTCTATAGTCTAGTCTATAGTCTAGTCTATGGTCTAGCCTATAGTCTTGCCTATAGTCTAGCCTATAGTCTTGCCTATAGTCTAGCCTATAGTCTTGCCTATAGTCTAGCCTATAGTCTATTCTATAATCTTTAGTCTAGTCTATAGTCTAGTATGTATATAATCTAGTCTATAGTCTAGTCTATAGTCTACAGTATAGTCTAGTATAATCTTTAGTCTAGTCTATAGTCTAATCTATAGTCTAGTCTATAGTCTAGTCTATAGTCTAGTCTATAGTCTAGTCTATTTTATAGTCTAGTCTAGTCTATAGTCTAGTCTATGGTCTAGTCTATAGTCTAGTCTATAGTCTAGTCTATAGTCTAGTCTATTGGCTAGTCTATAGTCTAGTCTATAGTCAAGTCTATAGTCTAGTCTATAGTCTAGTCTATAGTCTAATCTATAGTCTAGTCTATAGTCTAGTCTATAGTCTAGTCTATAGTCTAGTCTATAGTCTAGTCTATAGTCTAGTCTATAGTCTAGTCTATAGTCTAGTCTATAGTCTAGTCTATAGTCTAGTCTATAGTCTAGTCTATAGTCTAGTCTATAGTCTAGTCTATTAGTCTAGTCTATAGTCTAGTCTATAGTCTAGTCTATAGTCTAGTATATAGTCTAGTCTATAGTCTAGTCTATAGTCTAGTCTATAGTCTAGTCTATAGTGTAGTCTATAGTGTAGTCTATAGTCTAGTCTATAGTGTAGTCTATAGTCTAGTCTACCGTTTAGTCTATAGTCTAGTTTATAGTCCAGGCTATAGTCTAGTCTATAGTCTAGTCTATGGTCTAGTCTATAGTCTTGTCTATAGTCTAGTCTATAGTCTAGTCTATAGTCTAGTCTATAGTCTAGTCTATAGTCTAGTCTATAGTCTAGTCTATAGTCTAGTCTATAGTCTAGTCTATAGTCTAGTCGATAGTCTAGTCTATAGTCTAGTCTATAGTCTAGTATATAGTCTAGTCTATAGTCTAGTCTATAGTCTAGTCTATAGTCTAGTCTATAGTCTAGTCTATAGTCTAGACTATAGTCTAGTCTATAGTCTAGTCTATAGTCTAGTCTAGACTATAGTCTAGTGTATAGTCTAGTCTATAGTCTAGTCTATAGTCTAGTCTATAGTCTAGTCTATAGTCGAGTCTATAGTCTAGTCTATAGTCTAGTCTATAGTCTAGTCTATAGTCTAGTCTATAGTCTAGTCTATAGTCTAGTCTATAGTCTAGTCTATAGTATAGTCTATAATCTAGTCTATAATCTAGTCTATAATCTAGTCTATAATCTAGTCTATAATCTAGTCTATAGTCTAGTCTATAATCTAGTCTATAGTCTAGTCTATAATCTAGTCTATAGTCTAGTCTATTGTCTAGTCTATTGTCTAGTCTATAGTATAGACCATAGCCTAGTCCATAGCCTACTCCATAGTGCAGTTTATAATCATATCTTTAGTCCTGACTAAAGCCTAGTTTAGGCTTTAGTTTAGTACCTATTTTTTGTCTTTCCAAGAATCTTCTTTAGCCCACATTTTGTTACTTTAATTTTAGTTTAGGGTGTGGTTCCAATATATCATTTTCTTTTTAAATTACTTTTACTTGTCATTTTAATTCATAAACAAGGTACATTCTTTATATTTCGTTTACTTTTTTTTTCCTATAAATTTTTAATCTCAAAACAAATCATATAAAAGCGGCGACAAGTGCATTAAATATCAATTCTATACTTTGCTCTGTTTCCCTTTTGATTTTCTACCCACTTTTCCATAACAGAAAAACAAAGTGTTGAAAAAAAAATTATAAACATTTTCTTCATTGTTGTAATTCTTTTAGGATTTCTTTTTATTGTTGTATTGCTATGAGCTGTGATATATATTGCTAAAGCTAAATGCATATAAAAGATACAAAAAGAAAACAAACTTATAGATATATAGTTAAATGTACTTGTACAAATGATACACATAATATTACTACTATAATCGAGTGACTAGATACATATTACATCTAGAAGATACATACATACATACATGCATTTATAAACAAATATACATATAGATGGATACATATATAGTAGGTATGGTTGAGTAGATGTATAAAGATACTTGTAGTGTAACATTAAGATATGTTTGTAACTATGTATCTATCTGGTATCTAGTATCTCGTGATGTGTGTCTGTTGGTTTGTTTATATGTATAGTATATGTGTGTGCACTTGAACTGCATTCACATCTATAAATACTTTTACGTACTATTATTGCTGCTGTTGCTGCTACTGAGAGCTACATGCCATGCAAC